TCTTTAAACTCTTAGTTTTTAAACTGTTTTCAACTGATTTCAGTGACTGGGCATGTCTGATTACTGCCTTTAGAAACCTTTTGTTTCAAAAGCTTAAGTTACTACTTACGAATGTTTAACTATTTCAAAAGGAATTGTTACTTAGTTTTCAAATAAACATTTTTTCAACTTTAACAATTCCATCCAAAAATTTAACTTTGAAATCCACATTTCTTTAATTTTTCTGCTTTTATTTACTTAATGAATACTTGAAATTTTAAATGAGTGTATTTATCATATTTCCTCAACTATTTCCACTCTTCCTTTTAATGTATTTTATTTTCCGGAAATAAAGAGCGAAAAATTCTGTGCGTAATTTAATTTCCAAAGAGCGGGGTTACAGTAAGAACGTAACAAAAAGGAAAAGTAGCTATGGATAAACTACAGGTAACTACCATAACATTACTTCTTTAAATGAAACCTACATTCCAATAAGAATACATGATAATATTGACATTACAATATCTGATGGATAATGAGCTGATATCTGATGGTAACTGAGGCAGACATTTTTCACTAGACTCAATTACCTTATAAAAACCCCAGGGGCACCTCACATGAATGAATATTGGTTGAACTTTACAAGAGGGACATCGGAGGAACGAAAGAGAAGGGGGCGAACAAAATATCTGGATTTCGAAAGGTCGAATAAATCATCAGTAAATAAGCTACAATGAGCTGAAACATAAATAATAGAAGTAAGGTGAAATCATATGTTTTGAGATACACAAACTGACGCGTATTCGGGAGGTCCGAAGCTCGAATCCCGAAGTGGGTACTGCACATTTTTCACCTCCCCAGCAACAACAAAACTAATGACTCTATAAATAATATAACGGGGAAAGTGGAATGGATTAAACGCTAATACAAAAATGCTAATACAAATTAAATATACTGAATAAAAATACAAAATAATCAAGGGAATACAATTTACTAATAAATTAGGCCTCCCAAGGCAAAGCTATGCACAGCAGGAAAAGGGCAAAATTATGCAAATATTAAAAAAATTTTCAGATAGTAGTGGGGGAAAAATACACATGGAAATGAGATATTTGAATAATGAAAACAGAATTCCGAATTGACGACGTTTCATTCATCTCTGTAAAAAATATTTTAATATCTTTAAAAGATATATTTTGAAAATAAATAAATTTTGTATTGTTTTAAAGTAGGAAAAAGTATTGATTAATTTTATATTCATTTAATATCGGTTGCTGAGTGATATAATAAAATTTTAATGACTTAGCATACATTGAAATACAAGCCTGTTTTGGTAGTACGAACCCAGATTATAATGGCCAGTCTAAATATAGTTTCAATACACGACGTATGTTATCAGGTTAGAGCTGTCATTAGCTTGAAGTACACCTTGCACCAATAAAAAAAAAAAATTCTATGAACTTTCAGATTTTATACTACACCCAAAGGGATAATTTGCACAGAAGGGCTATTAATTTCCTTTGGCATTTTGCGTTGATTCACTATAAAGGGCGAACCAGTTTTTAAACTGTTGCCACCAAATTAGAGCCTGCATTGTATTTAAAGGAAATAAATTATAGAAACATTAGGATTTTTTTTTTTTTTTTTTTGAGCAAGAGAGATGAAAAAGGCAATGCTTCCCCGAGAATACCATTCCAGTGTGCAGTCCACCAAAACCACGAAGGCACGAAGGCACGCCAAGAAGGGGAGAATACCTTATAAAATAATGAGAATCTGTAAAAATGTATGTATCTTGTCACATACATACATTTTACAATCAACCAAGAGCTACATTATACATACATAGAACCAGAGCCATTTTGAATACATACGTGTCACACCGATATGGGCATAGGAAGCCCAAATTGGAATATGGATTTGTTTTATTAATGTTTCATATTTGTAAGCATTCTGACTTTTTTGATTAAGAAAATCAAACGATTTAAAAAGAGAGCAATGGCAACACTGTACGGTAAAATTATGTTTATATTTGTAAGCATTTATTAGTTTTTTAAGAAAACAAGATATTCAGCGGCCATGGTAACACTGTACGGTAAAAAAAAATATATTTTATATTTGGTAAAAGCATTGTGAGTTTGATTTGAAAGAAAAACGATTTCAGCGAGAAATGGCACACTGTAGGGGAAAAATAATTATCTCTAGCGCACTAGCCTATGTATTGAAAATTCTAAAGATATGCTCTTTTAAAGTATTTTATAATAATATAACAAATAATAAAAGAAATAGCTGTTGAATTGAATTTTATAGTTTAAGGCGAAGAATATGATATTTAATAAATTAAGGTAAGACCAAACGTTCAAAATAAGACCCTTGGGTATAATTAAATCAAAAGTTGCAGATTTTTTTTTTTTATGTATGTTCTTTGCTCTAAACCACATCAAATTCAATTCACAACTTTTTTTTCCAAGGCGATGTGAACAATTACAAAACAAACATCCAGAAAACAAAGCCGGATGTTGTCTCTTCTTTATCAGGAGGCATCTAATAGGTGGGCCACCATCGCCTTCCTACGAAAAGGCGATAGTTACAAAAGCCTTCCACCGAGATTCGACCCAGGCCCTTCGCAATCGCAGTCATCTACCTGACCACTATATCGCTGACGGCTCAATTCAACACTTTCACAAATATTTAAAAACACCATATCTTTATTTCCGACAACATCTCGCGAGCGATAGATATTTATTTATTTATTTGTTTTCTGTACGTTTGCCTTGCTTGTTTTGAAATCGTTTGCGTTTGGTAACAAAAATTCGTTAAGTTTATAGATTGGGAAATAGAATAAAACAAATCGAATTAAAATCCGGGCCTCCAGATGCCCCATTCGTGTGAGGGATTAATTTTCAAATCTATGGCTGACGTACCGTCGTTTTAAAATGCCAGAAACTACCTACATTCTTGCACTTTCATCTTTATTTAATTTCTTTTAAAATAATACAGGACGATAGTTTTTGTAGCAAAAATTTGAAAAGTTATTTATCCTTTTACAGTGATTCAAAGCTAAATCTCGTTTCGAGACTAATAGCCCTTCTCAGCTAACGCTCTTTCGGGCTAAAAAAGTTGAACGTTTTATCTCAAATTTATATATACATTGTTTTAACATAGGTATTTCGACATAAAATTGGTCTTTATCTGAAATGATGCACCTATGTTCCCCTCTTCAATTCTACGAGTCAAATTATGCTGAAATATTAAATTTTGTCACATTTGGTGAGAAAATTACCGAGAAATTAAGAAATTTATCTTGGCGTATTTTTTTTCAGCTTGTGACAAGAATAATTCACGTGGCAAATGCTTAATTGTGAAACTAATTTTCTTTTTCCTTTCAAGCCGAGAGGAACAAAAGGTGCATCGTCATTCTTCAACATTTTAAACTAAGTGCATAAACCGTAGTTGGCGTTATTACGATTATAACAACTATTTCAATTTCATACCCCATCATATAATCATGTAAACGAAATTTTTGAATAAAAAATTTTCAATGTTTTGCATGTATGCCAACAGTGCATCACGTTAAAATGACGCTAAATTTTATCTCAAATTCAAAATTTTTTCGAAAATTTTATACAAATTCTAAAAACAAATCAGAAAACAGCGGCGGATTTTATTTAAATCGAACCTATATTTCGAATCGTGAAAAAAAGAATCAGGGAAATTTAATAGCAAAAGAGATATATTGGTAAATATGCACCAAATTCAGTTAACAATGAGGAGCTAAAATTTTGAGAGCTAAATTTTTTAAAAATTACTCTTTTGAATTTTACAAAACTTAGCCATTGGCATAATTTGAGCCTTACAGTCGAAGTATCGAAAACATTAGTATGTCATTAATTTTAGAAAATGTGCCATTTTTTGCCAAAGCACCCATGTCAGAACTATGCTATATATAAGTTTAATATATATCTTAAGTCGTGCGTTCGAGACAGGATATATATAATTTTAATATATATCCTAAGTCGTGCGTTCGAGACAGGATATATATAATTTTAATATATACCCTAAGTCGTGCTTTCGAGACAGGATATATATAATTTTAATATATATCCTAAGTCGTGCTTTCGAGACAGAATATAATTTAATATATATTAATTTTTTCGAGTAGGATATATATAATTTTAATATATATCCTAGGTCGTGCTTTCGAGACAAGAAAAATGCAAGCTTAATTTCGTTAATCGCCCCAGCAGAATGGCAGATACAGAATCCCGTTTTTTTTTTTTTTTTTTTTTTTTTTTTTTTTTTTTCCAGTGCAAGGGATGCAATTAAGTCTCAACTAAAAATACTTCATCGAGCATTAAAACCTTATTTATTTTTGTTAAATTGTTTTAGTGGATTAGTAAATTACTTCATCTCACTAATACTTTCGTATTTGATAGAGATTACTTCATTTAATTGTAATTGTTGTAGATAAGAACCATGAAAATGAAACCGATAAATTAGGAAGCATTTTCAAGCAATTTCCTTTAAAAATATTCAAAATAGCAATTACTGAGATTATTTCGCGGAAACATATCTGCATAAGATACGTTTCGGACGTAGAACATTACACATAATCTTCTAGTTCCTTTACAACTCACATTTTAATCCCGTAAACGTATGTTTTAGCACTGTAATAGAGCTTAAAATGTCAAATTCGTATTGTTGTAAAGCAAAAGGAAATTTAAGATCACGTAATCTAATAAAAACCATTTCCTTTGTATCAATCTGATATGTCGAGGAACCATTATAGTTATATACTCAAGTATCATTCATATCGATAATAAGTCTCCTTTGTATCGATAATAGCCGTTTGAGCAGAGCAGCCATCAGCATTGCCTGAGTTCAACAGAGCATGGAGAGGAAATCTATTTGACGAATTTCACTTTCGATCTCCAGAAAAGCCTGATTCCGGGAAACGGCAGAATGCAGGAAAAAAAGGCAAAATAAATAAAAGAAAGAAAAAGTCAAGCATCAAAAATTGGGCCCGATTAACCGATAATAAGGTTTGCGAACGCTCGAGTGATTGGAAGAGGAAAAAAATGCGTTGGAGGAACTGTGGGTTTAAAGGCGTTGTATATAGACACAAAGCACTAACTTTCTTCTCTTCATTCCACGGAATTCACTACCAAGTGAGTATTTAAATTTATTGGTCTCACTGCTCACTTCACAATCACTTGGGAATATTTTTCAGCTTTGAAATCGTAAGTTAGTTTGTTTGGATAGTAAAAGCGATCTATTTCGATGATGTTTCTCCTTCAGAAAAATCTAAACGATTTCGTTTAATTGAATCCTAAAACTTCAAATTTTAAGCCATTTTTAAAATATGAGTACAAAATTTCTTAGAGAAAGACAGTAAAAATGTAAATTTTTTAAAAATGGGTAAATTCAACTGAATTAAAAATTTAATAAAATATAATAATAAATTAATTCTATTCAATTTTGGATTAGTAGGTAATTCTATTCATCTTAAAAGTCTTTTAAATTGGTACTAAAGTAGTAATTTAAAAAGTTCATTCTTTCAATTTTAAATTATAATTATTGTATTAATAAAAAGTAATTCTATTTCAATTTTTAAATAATTATTTTTAAAAAGTAGTAATTTTAATTTTTTATTTAAAGGTTACTTTTTATCTTTCAAAGCGGAATATTTTCTATTAGTTAATTCTTGATTTTATTTAAACTATAATTTTAGAATGAATAGATATTAACAATAACTTATTGTTAGAGCTGCAGGAAATATATGTCGCTTGCCAATACAATTGAACGCTGAAAATGCTCTTTCTCAGATTTATAATTGAATAAATTATCTCTGTTTCTCTCATTTTTAGCTAATTTAAAAATTATTTTATCCAAATTTTGATTTAAATATTAGTTTTTAGTGAGTAATTTTAAATAATAATATCATATATATTCTTTGCATTAGATTCATATATGCTTGAACTTTTCTCCCACTCGTTTTCAATTTAAGAGAAATTTGTTTTTAAACTAGTTTAACTAGTGTTATTGAAATTAATATGTCTTTTTGAAATCTTTCTGCAAATTTAGTATTATACGTATCTCTCCATTCTGCGTAAAAATCATTGCGTATCATTGCGTAAAAATATCTACAATTAATATACAGCAAAAAAATATATTATAATACATTAACTACTAAAAATTAGAACGTTGTGAAGTTGTATGAAAATACATCAACAACGTCATAAAACTCATTACGGTTCATTATTTATTATGATGATTTTAAAATGACATCATAAAATCAAAGCACATATTAATTCGTTATTTAATGTAATATGTAAAATAAATCTTGTGCTTTAACTTCCTTTGCAAACTTTATTGATTCCCATTTAGATTTCTTATGATGCATTATATTTATTGCTTTTTGACATTTTTATTGATTGGAAAACATTTTAAAAGCATAATTGCTGCTAGTTTTACATTTTTTTTTAAATTATACTACACTAGATTTCAGTTCTGCCAATATTTTTTAACGGTGATAAAGAAAGGAATACTATAGAATATTTGCTTATTTTCACTTTTTAGCTTGAAATGGAATAGCGTTCGCAACACGTTTTCAGATTTCTATTTTTCAGATTTTATTTCTATTTATACATGCATTTCACTTTGCAGATAATAGTTTTCTATTTTTAAAATTGGCAAACTTAATTTTTAAAATTGAGAGAATTATTTTCAATATTCTTTAATCAATAAGATTTAATAAATCTGCACTCAAAGAAAGCATGATTTACTTAAAATATTTTTGGACAAAAATTATAATTTTTAACAGAACTCTACTCGTGTCCTAATTTTATACTAGCTTTCATCGTTATATTTTATTAAGAATTATTTGTGCAATACTCTGTAATTATTTCAAATTTAGAATATAATCGAAGATTATAAATATAGAAAAATAGAAAATTTAAATAATTTAATTTGGAAATACAAGCCAAAATTTTATCCGAAATTTTTTCCCACTCAGTTTAAAATATTAAACTTTAAAATGTTTGTATTTTTCCTACAAATTAATGTTACAATTATCTTATATTATATTATAAGTAAATTTACATATTTCTAGATCAAATAGAAATTATTTTATTATATCTATGAACGAGAAATAAAAAATAATGTTCTTTCATTTCATTTTCAAGTAAGTAAAATCAAATCCAGTTCAAATTTTTCATATCATCAGTGTCAAAAATTAGATACCTAAATTTTAATAAAAATTTAATTAGCAACTTTCTCAAATTTGGATTAGGATTTCTTCATAGCACTTCGACAAACGGCTGACTTTAAATTTTTTAATAAACTTTAATTACTGTCGTTTATTTATATTTCTAAGCAATTTCATTTATTATTAGTGCCAGCGCACTATTGTATTCCCTCGCGTACGTTTCCTCTAGCATATTTTTGCATAATTTTCATACATAATTTGTGCAGTATTCGTGTAATTTTCCCCTTCCTCAATGCAATCAGCAAAACTAGCTCCCTTAAAATTTAAAATAGATACCTGCATGTAGGAACTGGTTTTTGTCTTCCCTCTCAAACTACCTGCGAAGGTCACTTCCAACCTTTCCCTTCCAACTGTTGAACTTTATACCAGCCTAATACAAGAACCGGCCCATAACAATGAAGCAAACACGAACTGGCATTAAGTTTGCGATTTCGTGGAGTCGACTGCATATTTGTCTTCTCAAAATATTTACGGATGATTTGAGCCGTAAGGAATAGTAGGAAACCAGTAAGAACAGGCGATTTTCAAAATGCGGTAGAGAACAAATGAAAATATTATCTTATTAGAAGTATTCGTACGGGAATGTATGTTATTTTTAAAGAAATAATATAGTCAACTGTAGTTTATCTATGGCTACTTTTCTTTTCCTATGTTCTTACTGCAACCCGCCCTTCGAAATTAAAATCGCATAACTTTCTCTGTCAATTTCGGACGTTCTCTTTTTTACTAATTAAAAATTAGTAAAAGTAAGTATTAGTAAGAGTTTACGATATTTCGCTTCATAAGTATATTTAAAGGAGATTTAATTACATATTATTTTATAAATTGGAGACAGTTGTATTGGGACATTTAAATAGTAAAACTGTTTAAAATTTAGGAAACATAATAGTGGAAAATAGGTTTTATAAAAAATGTATATATTGCTCTTATCTTATATCTGAGCAGATTAAGGGAATTCTATTCTTAACATAAATCTTTGTGCAATTTGCTGAACAACAAAACCTGTTGGGTGAAGCAAGAAAAATATGCTCGAGTATATCTGTTTCTGGTTATGAATGGTTTAAGGAATGAAAAGTCAAATAATCGTTAAAGATCTAAAAATCGTCTTGTTGTGCAGAATCTAAGAATAATAAGAAGAATAAGTTGTAAGACTCTAAGAATGTTACTCGATTCTTTCTGGAATAATGGAATAATTTATTATTCAGCACCTAAATTTATTGACATATGTATATTTATATATATATGTCTGCATTTTAAGAAGGAAGAATTTAATGAAAGCTAAATATATAATTCTTTTTAATTCGTTTGTTTGCATACTCAGTTCTCCAAATTTACGTTACAAAGCTATAACATTCATGTTTATTTAGAAAATAGGAATTTTATCTAAAAATAATACTCAAAGCTTAGTTCTCGTTAAGAGATATTAGAGGATGGAGGAAGAGGAACAGTAACGTACTTTAGGAGGAGCAGTAACTGTTGTAGTATGTTCTGTTACCGATAGATGGCAGCACTACCAAATATTTGAATTGGCTCATATAAGTGATTTATTTTCGGAGAATCAGAAAAAATAATTGTTTTTTTTTTAATTTTCACTAATAATTTGCGTTGCTTTAAAACCCATTGACAGTTTTCAAACTCCTTTTCAGACAAAAAATTGTTAAATTAGTTTGTTTAAGTAATTTATATCAGTATTTTTTGAACGGATAGGATACGTTACGTATGGTATAGTTTCATGAAAATGCTTCCCTAACTCTTGTAGCAGAATTTTTTAGCCATAAATATCAGACGGGAAACATTATTTGGAATAATTTCTGAAGCATTTTTATTTCATTGGATACTGAAGTAAGTATATATCAATTTCTGACATTTGTTAAACTTCCTGTGATTCCTCCTTCGCAAATCTACTTCTTTTTTCACCAAATATATAGCTTCGTTGCATTTGAAAGATGTAAATTTTGTCATATCTGCAAGTGACATCTATTTAATTTCTATCTCTGATTCTTGTGTGGAAATGATGGAAGTTTAGGAGCGTGAAATCGTTGAATCTCCAATCCCAGGCTTGCACTCAAATATCGGCGTGCTAATCCTTATATTATATAAGCATGCGGTAGCGATGACTTTAGCTCATTACATTGTTTTCTATCTACTCGACTGATAGACAGCGGACGAATTTCAATCTACCAGTTTTAATCTACTAAAGAATTTCTGTCTGCATAATTTCTGTTAAGCTCCGGATATGAAGAGGAAAGGTATTTTGAATGAGGAGATTCGTAAAAATGTTAAAACTGCCTGGAATCGAACTTGAAGGATTCAAATTGAGGGGTTCAATGTTCCATCTCAGTTTTTAAAAAAATTAATATTTTATGTTTGTCCGAATGAAATCCAAGTTATTTTTCTGAACGGATCAATTTTCATTATTTTTTAATTTTTTATGAGAATTTTTCAAACAAATGATTAAATGATGAACTTTTTAAGATTTAATTTACAAAGATCGAATTAAATTAAAAAGTCAGCAATTAAAGTTTAAATTTTATGAACAGTTTTCCTTTGGTGATAATTATCTTTCAATGTGGTCTTAAAGACAAGTTATAATTACAGTGCTAACAGGAAGCTAACATAACCCCTCAGTAGTCGCCCAGTGGTTGTGAACGTTGAACAGTGATAGTTCGCAAGAAGATGCTAGTTCTAGCAAACGAGCTGGTTTTGTCAATGTTTTCGTGGTTTTGATCGACATATAATATAAACACAAACCAGTTTTAAATAAAATGTCCTCTATTCAAGTGTCCTCCTCCACAGGCAGATAATCTCTGTATGCTTTGCCATACTCAAATAAACACATAAAGGTAACAAAATTCTGCCACTACAGTTAACGTTTTTATACGTAAAATAATTCATACAAAA